ATTTCCATCTTTCTTTTCCCCTACCCCTCGGACTCGCCTTTCTCCTTTGCCCCTTTTCTTCCTCTGTCACCATATCTATTATGCCTTTTAGTCCTTATTTATACTTTCAGTTTCTCACACTAGAGAAACTATTATGTATTTACAAATATGTGTCCCGTTTATTTCCCTTAAGAATATGGCATCAATGTACATCCATTTAGCTATAAATGTCTCTAGATATTCCTTCTTTACGGCTGAATAATACTCTATTCATTTTTTTAACAAAGAATTTTCTTTATGCAGTCTCGAGCTGTTGGGCAATTGAGCTGCTTCCCAGTTTTAGCTATCACAGATGGTGCTGCTATGAACATGGGTGCACATATATCACTGTCGTATAATTCTTCTCATTCTGTTGGGATGATACCCAGCAGAGGACGACCTGGGTCAGATGGGACCGCCAATCCTACTGCTTGAAGTATCCCCATACTGATTTCCACAGTGGTTGCACCAGCCTACACTCCCAGCAGCAGAAGAACAGGGTTTCTCTTTCCCCACAGCCCCATGAGCATTTGTTTGTGGTTGATTTTATGATAGCAGCATTTCTTTCAGGGGTGAGGTGGAATCTCAGTGTTGTTTTCATCTGCATTCCTTGAATAACCAGTGATGTTGAACACTTTCATATGTTTATTTGCTATTTCTTCTCTGTTTGAGAAATGTGCGTTTATTTCAGATGCCCATTTTTGGATTGGGTTTTTCAATTTGGGAGGTCCCTTTTTTTAAATTTCTTTCTGTATTCTAGATAGTAGCCCTTTGTCTGAGGAACAACTGGTGAAAAAATTTTTCCACATTGTATGCTGTCTCTTCACACTATGGGTTGTTTTTCTTGCTGTGTACATGCTTTTTCGTAAGAAGACTTGTTCATTGTGCTGCTTCATGGGTAACTGAGGTTATAGTCACAAAATCTTTTCCTACATCAATGTTTTTAAGAGTTCTACCTAACCTCTCTTCCAGGTGGTTTAGTGTTTTCTGTTTTAGTATTTAGATCTTTAATCCATTTTGATTTTTGTTTAGTGCATGATGAGAGATACAGATCTAGTTTTAATCTGTGGCAAATTGAAACCCAGTGTTTCCATCACCATTTAGTAAAGAGTCTATCTTTCCTCCAGTGAGAGTGTTTGGCTTCTTTCTCAAACATGAGGTGGCTGAGTGTGTCTGGAGGTTTTTCTGCAACTTCTAATCAGTTCCCTGGTCATCAGGTCTGGTTCATTGCCAGTATCAGTCTATTTTTATCCCAGTAGCATTGCAGTATAGTTTTCTTTCTTTCTTTTTTTTTTTTTTAACCAGGGATTGAACTCGGGTCCTTGCACTTGCAAGGCAGGCCACAGAACTGCTGAGCTAAATCCCTGGCCTTTGCAGTATAGTTTTAAATTAGGAATTTTGATTCCTCCTACCTTGTCTTTATTTCCTAGAATTGCTTTAGCTATTCCAGGTGTCTTCTTTTTCCAATGGATTTTTGGATTGTTTTCTCGAGTTCTGTGAAGCCTGCTGTGGGGATTTCAATTGGCATGACATTGAATCTATATTGCAGTTTTAGAAGTATGGCCATTTTCAGTATGTTGATTCTTCCTACCCAGGAGCAAGCAATGCCTTTTCATTTTCTGGTAGAATCTTCAACCTCTTTTTTCAGCCTTTTGCTGCTTTCAGAATAGAGATTTTTGATTTCTTTCTTTTTTTTTTTTTTGATTCCTAGTTGTTTCTTTTTTTGATGTTATTCTGAAAGGAGTTATTTTACCATGTCCTCTCTCAGTGAGACTGTTGTTCATGTACAAGAAAGCTTTTATTTTTGATCTCTGACCTTGTATTTATCTACTCAATTGAATTTGGTTATTAAGTCTAGAAGCTCTCAGGTGGAGTTCTTGGGTCTTCTATCTAGAGAATCTCCTTGCAGGCCTCCAGATTGATGCCACCACTGTGGAAGCTCTTCCTCTGCTTGACAGTAATACTCTGGCCTGAGTTAACTGTGCCCAGGAGGAGGAGCTTGATCTCAGGGCGCTGTAGCTGGCTCTCTGAGTGCAGGTGGCAGTGGATTCTCTCGGTCCTCTGAGCCAACTCTTTCTCCTCTGAGCCAAGCCTTTCTCCTCTGAGCATTGCCCACCTCCCATGGTCTGCCAGCAGCAGGCCCAGATGGATCGCACAGTTAGGGGCTTCTCCCTCTCACCACTGAGCAGGGAAGGCCTCAATGCGGGAAACGGAAGTGAGGGCCAGTGCAAGCAGGACAGAACAATCAGTTTCTCTGGGAGAACGGAGTCACCATGCCACCCTGGAGCCCTTGCCCCAGTCTCTTCTGTAGTTGGCCTGGCTCTTCATGCAGTAGGGCGGTGACTGCACCCACCCCTCTAATGACACTGCAAATCCCTTGTCAGCTGCATGGCCTGATTTGCTGTAGTCATTGTTGACCCTCAGTCATGCTGGGGCAGGTCTTTGCTTGTGACTGCCTAGGCTGCTGCCCTGTGCTTGTTGGTTGCTGTGGCCATGTTGCTAAGCATGTCTGGAAGGCCCTGTGCTCCCTGCGGCCCCCTGCCTCGTGCTCCCAGCCACACATAGCACATTGCCAGGCCAACTGCTGCTGTGTAGATTTATTTTAATCATTGCAAATTGGAGTTCTATATGTGTCACTCATTTGTATGTGAAATTTTTTTTCTATGTTTGAGAAGTTTTCTATCACTACTTCTGTGAACAGGTTTTTTTGCTCTTGGTACTGACTCCTGTTTTTTATGGATGCCTTTCAATCTTATATTGTTTTTCTTTGCATCAAATTGCAGCTCTTGTTTGTTTTTTCCTATAGTCCCTTGTTATTCAAGAGATCTTTCTTTTTGTCATAGCTGTCCACAATCCTGTCTTCTAGGTCTGACATTCTCTGTTCACTTTCATACATGAGATTTCACAAATGTTCAATGAAATTTTTCATTTCCTGCATAACTGTTTGAATCTGTTTCATGGAGTACATTTCTTTCCTAAATTGGACATTCATGGTTTCCATCATTTTCCTAAGATCCTATATTTTTCAAAAATCCGTGTCTACTCTAGATTTGTGAAGCAAGTCATTAATTTTGTTCATCATTTCTTTTTTATCTGACAAATTATTTCTGATTTGTTTTTCTCTATAGAGTCATACATGTATTTTTCTTTTACTTCTGAGAAAATCATTGCAGAAAGTTCAAGTGGGTGACATCTGATTTCCTCCATCTCATTGTCCTCATTTATGTTGTGCGGGCTGGAGGTTGGGGGTCCAGTTTGCTTCTGTGGCTTGTGATTTTGTAGTATTTAAATTTTAATTTGTTTTCTGTGTTGTTCCTTGTATTTTTCTTATGTCAGGTAGCTGTGTCAGTGGGACTGAAGCTTCCCTAAGAAATGTGTGTTACGTAGAGATGTCTTGTATGTGTAGCTTGCTCTTGGTCTTTGTGTCATTTCAGAAGCCTAATTTCCCACTCTCTTAGTCATGGGAAGTTGCTATCTATTTTACTGAGTAACCAGTCTTTTGGTACTAGGCTATGGGAATGGTTACAACCCTGCACAATCACAGTGCTGTCACACAAGGCTGAACACCTGAGTATAATAACAGATAAGGCTTCCTGGCTAAAGTAGTAGAAATAGTAATAACAGTATCATCTTGCACATTCTAGAAACTGACAAACTGTGGAAATTCCTAATTTGGCATCTGTAATTAGAGAAACAAGATCTGTAGTTTTATCACAACAATGAACATAAACCAGGAACTTATATGCAGTGAGTTTCACCTCGATAGAGTGATTTTATCTTGTATGTGAGGGGATCTAAGAGCGATAAGGCTCAAATCACAGTTATAACTGAAGAGAAATAGAATATAAGCAATCCTGAAAGAGAAAGGATGATCACCCAAGCTTATGGAAGCTGGACAAAAGGATAGGAGAGAAAGAAGGAAGGAGAAAGCAAAATAATATCAAAGTGAACCAGAAAGACTAGCAACAATGTTCATTCACATGGAAATATAAAAAAATCAAGAAAGACTGTTGAGAAAAGAGAGAAACAGAATAGACAACAGAAACTAAACAATAATGTTGAAAACTTAATCTCTCCCCCCAAAAGAGAAAAATTCAAAAAAAAGGGGGGGGGAGCAAAACAACCTAATAAATGCAGAGAGAAAGAAAACAAATTCCTCTGATGTCCCTTTTCCATGGTAGTGTCCATATTAGGGCCCAAATATTGCTGGGAAACCCCACTAAGTCTGGAGTAGGATGCGTGCTTTGTGTGGGGTTTAACTTCACCTCCAGATGCAGGTGCTGGATGCAGCGTCTTCAGGCAGCAGCTTTCTGGATGGCCAGCTCATTCTCCTTCCCCTGACTGTCCCTGCATTGCTCCCCCAGATGCTGTGGTGCTCTCAGATGGCTGTTCCCAGCCCTGAGTGCAGCTGGCTCGGCCTGGACCTTGCACAGCCTTCTCTGTTCCACACTGCTCAGTCCTCTCATACGCTCCTTATAATGCAGCAGAGTACTGACCTGGCCATCCTTTCTGTGTGCACATGTACACATATATATTCATTCACATGAATATGATTAAATTTTCCCCTTTAATAAGCACTAACTGATACTGTTACAGTCCCGGTCTGTGCTTTAACATAGCCTCATTGTGTTGCCTGTGCCCCAGGCTGTGCATCACCCAGGCTTGCATCTAGATGTCCCCCACTGCATCATGCACTATATCTGGGATACTTCAGAGCTGGTGAATCCAGGGTGTGTGATGTTGCACTTAAGGATGTGTAGTGCTAAATGAATGCACTGACTGGAACTAGCATAGTTCTGAGCATGAAGGGATTCAATCAAGTCAGAAGCCTCACCCTGGTTGTGAGTGGCAACACCCCAAATGTTTTAGCCTGCATGGGATGGAAAGGAATAATTATACAGCCAGAGGCCATGCAAATAAGGTTGCCAGTCTCTGATACAAGTAGCTCAGCCCTGACCCTACAGCTGTGCAGAGGAGCACAGCCGTGGTGCCCAGCCTATGCCCTTCAGTGATTAGGACTGAGCACAGAGGGCTCACCATGGAGCTTGTGCTGAGCTGGGTTTTCCTGGTTGCTCTTTTAAAAGGTAACTAATGAAGAATTAGAGATCCTTAGTGTGTGTGTGTGTGTGTGTGTGTGTGTGTATGTGAGTGGACTGGAGTCAGATAAACAGCGGACATTTGTGACATTCTCCTGAGCAGGATGTTTCTCTGTTTGCAGGTGTGCAGTGTGAGGTGCAGCTGGTGGAGTCTGGAGGAGACTTGGTGCAGGCTGAGGGGTCCCTGAAACTCTCCTGTGTGACCTCGGGATTCACCTTCAGCAATTACTATATGTACTGGTTCCGCCAGGCTCCAGGAAAGGGCCTAGAGTGGGTTGGTTTCATTAGAAACAAGGCTAATAGTTATACAACAGAATATGCTACATCTGTGAAAGGCAGATTCACCATTTCCAGGGATGAGGCCACAAGTACACTGTATCTGCAAATGAACAGCCTGAAAGTTGAGGACACAGCCGTGTACTACTGTGCTAGAGACACAGTGAGGCAACCTCAATTTGAGCCCAGACACAAACTTCCCTGCTGTGGTGCGCAGGACCAGCAGGGGTCGCACAGGTCACACGGAGCTCAGTGTCAGCCCAGGACAGGTGCAGAGGGTGGCCCAGTGTGATTTCCTGTCAGGATCTGAAGCTTCCTGTCTACATGACACATTCCCCAGGAGATTCTGCATTCATGACTCCATATTTTCATGTCCCTGAATTAAATTTGATTCCATAGTGCATTAGTTATACAGAGCGCTGACCCACATCCTGAGTGTGTTAGCATCCCAGGGCGGACCAACTGCCTTGGGGCTGACATGATTGTGAGGATGAGGCTGAAGACTTGCTCAGAAAACTGAGTAGAGTAAATGACGATAGCTATAATAGATTCAAATATGCATCCTAGTTTTATGGTAAACTGTTCACATCACAGTCACCCTACATACAAAATACAGAGGAGACAAGTATTCCAATTGAGAAGGTTTTCATAAACATTGGTTAGAAATCATTTGTGTTGACACCTATTTCAAATCTTTTGGATGATGAGCTACAAGCCAAGTTCATCATATGAGAATGCTATGTTTAATTTGTACCAAATGAACTAAATGTCTCCTAGAATCTCTCTGACATTTCTATTCAGCAAAATTTAGTTGTAGTTCAGGTTTATGTTCACAGTAGAACACAGAAAAATGTATAGTGACTTCCTATGAATCTCTTTCCCTAGAAAGCATAACATACCCCATCACCGGCACCAGGCCCTCCTGTCCTGCTGTGTTCTGCAGGGTGAACACCTGTGATGCTACAACTCCCAGAATCATGGCACTCACATGAGTTCAGTTCTGGGGCTGTGAGTTCAGTGGGTTTGGACAAATGCTTTATGACACGATTCTACCATTGCTGTCTGAGAGTGTCCAACTCTCTAAGGTGTGGGACTGATGGACCCTGAGTACAAGGGTCTGTGCAGAAAGTCGAGGGATGGATTATCCAACAGGAGTCTGCAAAGCTGAGAGCCTTGGGGAGTCCAGGTGGCAGGGCTGGGTCTGTGCTCCTCTCTAAGAAATGTTTGTCCTCCTCTGTAGCAAAGTGCCTGCCCCTCATCGACTCAGTCCTGATTCTTCCTTCCAGGTTTCTCCAGACTTCCTAGCTGTGCTATAAGCGATCTTCACCCTGTGGCGAGATCTGGAGGGGCTGAAACTGGTAGAAGCCTCCTCATGAGCTGTATGAGAACGTAGGTTTCAGCCCAGAGGAGTGAGCCCCTTGGATCCTTCTGTACCATTGCTATCTGCACCTCCATAAGCCGCTCCCAATATGTGGGAGTCATTTGCGCTACTCTCTACAGGGACTCTGTCCTGCTGCTCTCACCTTCCTCAGGACTTGTTTTGGCCAATGTTTTTCTCTTACATTTTCAAAATTATGGGTATGTCATGGTTGTGTACATTTATTTTTTCATAAAAGACCCATTTCAATTTTTTCATGAGCTCTAGACAAGTGTTGTCATTTATATTTTATTCCATTTTGATGGTATTATATTTGGTTCTACCTGAAAAGGTCTTGGGAATTTTCACTACATGTTCTTTAAGAATTAAGGAAAAGTCATATTTATTTTCTGAGTCTGTGACTTGTCTTTTATTCCTTTCATTGTATTTCTAAGAAAAAAAAGCCAAATTATTGGTTCCGCAATATTTTTAGTTTGCAGATGTTAACTGTTATTTACTAAGTTATACCTAGTGTTTAATGTTTATAATGGCACATAAGAAGGAGACAAAAATTTCTTCTTCGAAATCTTTTTCCCTAGATTTTTCTAGGTAACACATATCAATTTGGTACAAAATTCAAACAATTGCAATCTTCATCATAAATAGGTTAATGGTGATTTTTGAATTTGTATTTCATTGAAGGTTGTTGATGGAATGATCCTTGTTCACCATTCATATCCCTCTGCAGAGAAATATCTGTCAAATATAAGGCAGTTTTCAAAAGGAATCATTTGTTTATTCATTCGTTAAAATGGAAGTATGCGATTTTCTTTTATTTTACATGTTGAAATTTTATTAGATAGCTGAGATATAAAAATTCTCTGGCTTTCACAGGTAGCCTCATGATGTTGCTGTTTATTTCCTTCTGAGAAACAAAGTTTATATTATATGTACTCTGGATCTCTGCTGGTGTTGTCACCATCATTCTAGCTCCAGGAAGGCTGGCTTAGCTGCTCAGTCCCTGCTGGTGCCTCTGCCATCTCTCCAGCACCAGGAAGGTGGCTGCGGGAGCACCCCTGAACCGCTCCAAAGCCCGCCTCCCAAGCCCTGAGACCTCCTGATTGTGCCAGTCTTTGGACCCACTCTGCCGAAGCAGAGGTGGTCATAAAGTATATTTTTCTGAGCTCTCAACTTTGGACATCTTTAAAGAAGGGGCAAGGGAAACCTGTAGTAGAACTATGTGGCGTTTAACCCTTCAAGAGGTCGGGGAACTCAATCTGGGCCTTGTAGCCCGAGATCAGTCTGCATCATGGGTTCTTGCCATCAACTAGCTGAGATCAAGGAACTTGGTTCTGCACATGGCAGTGCTTGTTGCATATTATGACAGCAGAGATACAGTCTGAAAGAAGCCCCTTCAATTCATTTTTTCTTTCTTTTCCTCATTCCACTGTGCAAATTCTTTCTCTTTTTTTTGTCCTCTTTCTCCAACTCAGTCTCTTGCTCCACCATATTATCCCTCATCTCCCTTTCTGCTTCTGCTTGTGCCCTAACTCAGATTTCTTCTTTTATCATTTTTTCTCTTTTCTTTATGTTCTTTTCTTCTGTCATTCTACCTCTCTCAGGGCTTAATAGTTTCAAGGGAAAGTGAGCTCCTATTACTGTTAAGGGGATATATTCTTGTCCATTTTACTTCTACTCTGTCTATCCCTTTTGAATTTAACAATTTCCTAAAGATGGTGTGGTCATTCTATATGCTCTGGCTTCACTTGAAACCTTCTCCAATTGTTTTTCTTATCTACTCCTCTCCTGCGAACTTTGTCTAAGCACCCATCATAAATGGTAAATATGCTATATTGAAAAGTTTATTCACTGCAAACATATTTTGGACTGCTTCTTAATTTTAATTCAATTCACTTGGTTTAAAGGTGATAGTCTAAAGACTACCACAAGTGGTCAAATTGCAAGTTATGCTTCATCACACTGTGTTGCTGATTGTATCAATTGGGATAAAGGACTGTGACTGATTTAATGAGTTGTTTTGTCTGATATTATGAAAATCAGAATGTCTATGAGTCAATAGAGACCCAAAAGCTAAAGTGCAGCTATATCAGGAAGATTTAAGCAATAACCCAAAAATTAAACCAAGAACAACCCAGCAACAAAAATAAAAATGAAATAACACTTAAGCAACACACAAAGACAGACTTCTAGTTCACCAATGGCAAACAGTAGAGAAAATGAGGATAAAATGTCTGATAGTGAAACACCAGAACACGCTGAGCTGAAAGCACAGGAAGTAACAAAACAGATCAATCAGGCTCTAGAAAAATTCAAAACAGAAATAATTTCCCAGATAACCATAGAGATGGCCAGCAAAATGAAAGTCATGATTCATGACTCTAGAACAGAAACTGACAAAGAAATAGATGTGCTCAGGACCATAAAGGCCCAACATAATAAAGAAATGGAAACAATAAATGCCCGACATAGGAAAGAAATGGAATCCATAAAACAAATTCAAACAGATATCCAGGAGATTAAAAATTCCATTGAAAAATGTTTGCAACAGAATACAAGAATGCAAAGATAAAAATCTCAGCTATAGAAGATAAGATTGCAGTCAGTGACCGTGAAAGGAGAGGTCTCTTAAACACAGTAGGGGATCACGAGAAATCGATCAAACAACTCCTAGATGATGCAAAGAAGAATAACACAAGACTGATAGGAATCCATGAAGTAGCAGGAGAAAATACAAATGACTTAAAAAAGCTGTTCATAGAGCCAGGAGTGGTGGTGCACACCTGTAATCCCAGCATTTGGGAGACTGAGGCAGGAGGATTACTGTGAGTTTGAGACAAGCCTGGGCTACATAGTGAGCTCCAGGTCAGTTTCAACTACATAGTGAGACCCTGTCTCAACAAACAAAAGAAAAAAAAATCTGTTCACAGAATTAATGACAGAAAACTTCCTAAACAGAGGGGCAGAATTTGACATACAGATAAGTGAGGCATATAGGGCCCCAACTAGCCATGATAAAAAATATCTACAGCTACAGATATAAGAATCAAGATCCCAGAAACCCAACAGAAGAACAAAATACTACAAGTAGTAAGAGAAAATAAACACATCACATGCAAAGGAGAGCCCATCAGAATCACCACAGACAACACAAACCCTTAGGTCAAGAAGAGTCTGGAGTGAGATATTTCAAGTACTAAAAGAAAACAACCTCCAACCTAGACTGGTGTATCCTGCAAAACTCTCTTTCAAAATGGATGGGAAAATAAGATAGTTCCATGACAAAGAACACCTGAGAAATTGCATAAATATCAAACCAGCACTACAAGGAATTCTAACCAATATCCTAGAAAAAGACAATGAAGGCAGCAACACCATGAGGCCCAACAGAGCAAATCAAATAGGCAAGGCAAGAAACTAAAAGGAGAAGGCCAAAAAGTAAAGAGTCAACAAAAGGCCAATAACATGACAATAATAATCCAGTACATATCAGTTATAACCATCAATGTCAATGGCCTCAACTCACCAATCAAGAGAAATAGATTGACAGAATGGATTAAGAAGCAAAATCCAACAATATGTTGTATACAAGAAACAGATCTAGTGCAAAAAGAAGCCCATAGACTGAAAGTGAAAGGATGGAAAACAATTCTCCATGCAACAGGAGGCCAGAAAATAGCAGGGGTAGCAAACTTATTTGCAGACAAAGTAAATTTCAAACCAAAACTGATTAAAAGAGAAAAAGAAGGCCAGTACATACTTATAAAGGGAACAATTCAAGTGGAAGAATGACAATCATAAACATGTATGCACCAAATATTAATGCCCCCAACTATATAAAAGAAATATTAAAAAACACGAAAATCAAATAAGTACTAATACAATTGTGGTGAGGGATCTAAATATCCCACTTTCAC